CTTGTCTCCGGCGATTTGTACTCACCGCTCCTTTAAATATTCAGACATTTATGTGCGCACTTTAGTTTTTATAGCCTGTGTATAATATGATGATCATGATGATGAAAGATATTTCCGATATTGTCCAAATCACAACAATACGTAACTTATAGAAAACACTTTGTTGCTGTGGCGTCATCACTCATTTATTTATTTTTTCTCAAATACTATGTTCCTGATGAAGCCTTATTGGCGAAACGTTGGACTGTGAAAAAAATATATTTTCTGGAAATACAACAAGGTCTTAACTGTTTTAATACCTTCTTTATACAATGATGATAATGATGATGATGATGGTGATGATGATGATGATGATGATGATGATGATGATGATGATGATGATGATGATGATGATGATGATAATGATGATGATGATAATAATAATAATAATAATAATAATAATAATAATAATAAAAATAAAATTGTTCCCGCATCTGATCTGAACATTGGGGATTGTCTTGTTAGTGAGACAACTTCCAGGGCCTTCGGCATATTGTGGCACTAGGGTGGCCCTAGTTTCTTTCCATGCCGCCTTTATTTCCCCAACTCGAAGTCAGGTACCAAATTACTGCTGGGTGGGCACTAGTGGGCAGGAGGGGGCGAAAAAAATCCGTGTCCGAACTGAGGCTCAAACCTGGACTTTCTTCTTCGGAGACGAGCACACTTATAACGGCTCCGCCACCGGACCTTCAATGATAATAATACATGTAGTAATAATAATTGACATCTTTTCAACTGACTACTACTAATAATTTAATAGGCCTACTGACATTAATAATAACAATGATAATATGATAATAAAATTTAAATGGTAGTAATAATATTATTATCATGACAACGATAGTAAGGCTTATAATAATAATAATAATAATAATAATAATAATAATAATAATAATAATAATAATAATAATAATAATAATAATAATAACAATAATAATAATAATAATAATAGTAGGCCTAATAATAATAATAATAATAATAATAATAATAATAATAATAATACTGATAATGATGATATGTCTAATAATAAAAATAATCATAATTATTATTCTATTTTGCCCAGTGACCCAGTCCGTTTCAGGCTTAGTAACAAATTTCCTCTGCTATTCATATCTACTGCACTCCTTAGGAGTTCATTGGTTGATCCCTAGCTTACAAGGAAGGTCTTTGGAATAGACAGACCTTTTCTACGAATAACCCCGAAGAATGTATGACGTAGTACACAAGGAAGTAGTAGTTTTGCAAATGTGTACAGGTAAAGAATGTAAAACGCTTTGCCTACTTTTTTTTACCTTTCGTTTTCTTCGGCAATGCATACCGGAGAATCGCTACATGCACTGGAAGTTTTGTTGAGAGAAATGTAGAAGGCTGTGGTTTTTCTTCTTAATGTGCAGAGTTAATTACCATTGCCATAGAATGATCCATAGAAGTTGCTTTGTTGTTTGTAAAGAAATTGAGTAGCGTGAGCCCCGAAACAAAACTTCCAAAGATTAGAAGTTCATCGAGAGAAAAAGCATCGGTTTGCTTTGGAGCACGAGAAAGTTACGAGTCAAGTAAGTTGCGTAGGTCGGTTTGACTAATGTCTTAGAAGTAGACTCTTTTCTATGTAGATCTATAGGCTATTCCCGCAGAAATGTTGGTCAGTTTGCTTAAATCTATTCATTCTGATACAGGGAAATTATGTAATTATGAATTATGTGTGCAAGTGAAGAAGTGAGGATCGAAGACCAAATACTATTTGAATTAGGCTACACAAAGAGCAGGGATGCAACCTAACTGCAAAACATCAAATTAGGATAAAATTCAGGGGGGCATGCCCCCCTGAACCCCCCCACCTCCTTTTTTTTTAAAAAGTGGCTGTTCTCACCCGCCCGGAAGTTCTCGCAAGATCAACTCCTCCCCTCTTCTCTCTCTCTGTCTCTTTCTGAATACTGTCTATCGGTGTTGACGATCAAATTGACCAAAACAAAGTTAAAAAATGATGTTAAAACACAAAAGTAAATAAATTTGGTTGTCTACAAAGATGCTACGGCTATTTAACTTTTCGAATCGAGCTGAACTACGCGGGTCGCCATTTTGTTTTGCCCGGAAATTCTCGCGCTACTCCTCTCTCTCTTTCTCTCTCTCTCCACTGCCCACCGACAAAATTGTACGCTTTTAGTAGGCTACAATTGTAATGGAACGTTTGTTCACGGCACAGAATTCTACAATGTCAATTTTTCTGATCACAGTGTAGAATTCTGTAGTTTAGGGTGAACGCGCACCGTGTGAGAATAGCCACAAGACTCGCCTGCACTATTCTCACTCCGGGTGAGAATAGAGGTGGCCTATTTTTTTTAGGTCAGGGGGGCAAGCCACCCTGAAACCCCCCTGCTTGACTTTAACGAACGAAACTACAAAATCGCCCTAGAGTCTAGTAGTAGTAGTCGAGGGTAAGATTGAAGAATACCGGACCAGCAGACTGACTTAGCCTTAGCCTAGATCTATGTCTCAACCTTAGGAATTCATAATTTTCCCGTTGTTAATATCTCTCAATGGAGAATCTCGGACCGGTTGATCTATTCATTAAAATTTTGTCAGGGGGGAGACCCCCTGAACCCCTCCTCCCCCCTCCTCCACCCCAACCACCCGCCCCACCAACCCCACTTTCTCGCGCAATAATGTACGAGTGGTCCGGTATTCTTCAATCTTCCCTAGATCTACTACTCAACCATAGAGGCCTAGACTCTAGAGATAAGATCTAGATCTAGTAGAAATCTATTCTATTATTTATTCTATGCTGATTCATTGAATTGCGATCGTTGATGCTCAAGCATACACACGCATGTATACACTTCACCAGTTCTACAGTAGGCCTACCGGTAGGATAGACAGCACAACCCACAAGCAATAAACCGAGGAAAAGATGGCTTCCAACAAAGACAAAAGGAAATGCTTTTCACTCGAATGAAAGGCAGAGATAATCAACAATGTTGAGAAGAAAAGGAAGACTAATCTAAAGCGCAAATTTTATTAATATGGAAGGGATGGGATGTAATCATGTCTATTTTTTTTTTTAATTCGGTAATTTCCCCTTTGCTTTCCTATAGCGGGAACTCGCCTACAGCGGGATTTTTCTTCTTGAACCGAAAGTCCTGCTATAGCCGTGTCCTACGTACAAAAAAACCTGCCTGTTAGAAAACTAAGCCTTTACTAAAAAAACTGACCTTATTCGTTATCCGATGGCACTAAAGTGGTGAAGGAGCTGACTTCCGGTAGTGGATGTGATGCGAAACGGGAGTGATTCTATAAAAGTACTTTTTATTGAAATTTAAAAAATAATACAAGTTTGTTAGTAGTCTCACTGCTGCCATCTGCTCAGCGGTGAAGTTGAGTAACGTCATAAAGTAATTGTACTGTTTGTAACCTTTTTGTGGCATTTGGGCTCAAAGTTATAGTTGTAGTGGACAGAAAATTACACGAAAAGTGCATTCTAGATAGAGCTTTTTTGAGCCCTTCCTGGGTTTGTTAAATATTGAAAGAAATTGGTTTAGATGTTGTGTAAGATTGCTCTTACCCTTTCCTCTGAAACCAAAAGAATGAATGGATGTGTACATTCTATATATGTACACATATATGTGTTGTGAACTTATGGTTTTAGAGAACTATGTATTAAAAAGTAACACAATGAAGCTATAGTTCAAACAGCAAGACTGTTTTATTGAATTGAGGGCTTGTGATGAGGCATTTTAAAACTGAACTGTTACTAGTTTTTAATCTTTTTTAATGGTTTGCTTATTTTGAGAACATGAATGTAAACTGAAGCATTTACATCACGTAATATTATATATAATTGCAAAAATGCAAAGCAAAAAAGAAAATGCATTTGCACCCCCCCCCCCCCCCCCGTCGCACACACACACACACCACACATACAAATAAATGCACACAGGAGGTGCACACAAACTCATATCATGTATATATATATGTTGTATATGTGGGATGTTTTCCTTCTCTTCAGGTCAGGGGAGGAACATGGCTTCAGCTACCCCTCCTAGTGATCTGGATCGCCTCACTCGGTTTGCTTGCTTCGGCTCGGAAGATGGAACTTACAATGTGATTAAGAAAAATGATTTTTCCAAGGAAGGGACAGGGTCGATAGACTCCATCCTGACCTCCAAAGAGAAGTCGTTAGAAGCTGTGGCCCGACTGAAAAAGATATTCCAGCAAACATGTTATTCGAAGAAGGAGCCTTTGATCTACGCTCTGGCTCGAATCGTTCGCAACTCTCCAATACCTGAAGGTGACAAACATGTGGTGGATGAGGTGAGAGAGAATGCTTACCTGGTTACCTTTGATGTTTGTGGAACGGCCGAAGAGTTGTTTACCTTCGTGGACTTTGATAAACGAGTGGCCGTGCCGCCCAAGGTGGGCTGGGGAAGAGGGATGAGAGACATGGTCAAGTCGTTCTACGAGAGCCGGTCTGCGCAGGAGCTTCTCAAGGAGGTCACGAGGTGCAAGTCGGGGAAAGGTTTCTCTCATAAGGATCTGATCAGGCTGAGTCATGTGAACCCTGAGAGAAAGAGCAAAGGTATGTTGAGTCAGCTACTGCTTATGATGATGATGCTTTTTATCAATAATACTGCTTAACAATAATAAAAACCATTTATATAGTGTCTATTCATGCACAACAGCAAACTCTTTAGGATTTATGACTATTTTTACCCCAGCTGACCCTATTACACTCAGAAACATTCTCTACTTCCTGGGAAGCATAGTACAGCCCGCCAATTAAAAGCTACAGCACTAACAAACTGACAAGATCTTTCTCTTTTTATAGCCGGGTACCCATTCCCACCTGAATGAAAGGAGGAAAAGTTGTGTAAAGTGCCTTGGCCAACGACACAACGTTGGGACCCCACGGGGTTTGAAACCACAACCTTTCAGTCGCAAGCCTGATAGCCTAACCACTAGACCATTGCAGAGATCACTCCCCTCCACTTGATTTTGCTCAACTCCAATGTTTGTTCATGGGTACAGGTGAATTTAGTTGATTTGAATAAACATTAAACGTTGATGAATAGCGATGCTGAATGACATCATTTTAGAAATGGACTGCAATCATGTTTTCGATCAAATTGTGCTGTTTTGTCTGTCTGTACAAATATTGGCAATTTTACCATTTCATTTGCGATGTGATTCTCCTTCAGAGAGGGGTAAGCTCTGGCTCTCTATGCTGATCTAGATCCCAAAAGATCTTTGTTTTATCCTGAATGGCCTTTCTGCTTTCCACTTTTTGTTGTGGGTGATTGGTGGGTGCTCTGATGTGGTTTGCCCCTTCTTTCCTATCAAACATATTGGCCCTGTCTCTCCTCCTTTTGTTTGTATGTGGATGTCAACAGAGAAGTCCTTACAGGGAATCAGACTTACTCTGCTCACCTCTCTAGCTTCAACAGCACAAAGTCTGCTGCGACTATCAAGGCACCCCGGAAATAGCGGGTCACAACAGTGTGACAAACATACAAAGAAGCAAAGGAAAAGGACGATAGTGAGGATTAGGAAAGAAAAAGCAGCAGTTCCCTGTTGCAGGTCGGGCACAGTTATGAGCATGACATTGATGAATCAGCCCATTTACAATTACAATTCTTCTGTGCATAAGAACTCGAGATGTTAATGAACTTAATGTCCCCCCTTTGGGAACGGCCTCACGACACTTCAGTCAGTGGCACTGCCCCAGGGGATACCTCTAATCTGTGGCATTTACGTGATCTAATTGTATTGCAAGTGCTGTAAAACTCTTACTTAAACCACTTTTTGTTAGTTTTTTTTACTGAAAATGATGTTGTTTACTTGAATCTTTTACAACTTCCATAAAGTGGGCAGTATTGGGAAAGTTACTGGCTTGTGGTTACAAGGCACCACTGGCAGATTCCACTTCTTTTCTCTCTGTTGTTTTTGTCTGTCTGTCTGTTTGTCTTGTTTTTCCTGTTGTTGTTGTTGTTAGCGATCCAGTAGCATCTGAGCGTTAACTCTTTTGCATGATGCCATTCGGTAATAGCTGCATGTCTGTTCTAATTGTTGTCTTGAGGCAGTTAGTTGTGTGGGGTAGTTTGGGAAGAAAACGTCCCCTTAAATCAGTTAGTTTTCTACAGAAGAACAGATGATGTTCCACTGTATCTGAGGGGTAGTCACATAGTGGGCAGGCAGCAGACTGCTTTACTCCAATTCGGTTGAGATGTTGGTTGAGGGGTACATGTTGTGTTTGTTTTTCCTGCGTATCTTGCTTTTTTCCTTGCATGAAATAAATGGCCATTAAAGTGTTGATGTTCTGCTCTTTATGCAAAGGAACAAAGACCAAGCTTTGCTGGACGTGCACTGATAGTAATTTTTTTTTGGGGGGGATTAACACGAATGTTTTCACATCCCCTTTGACATAATTTTGATTATTTAGGAGGTGGGCTTCTGACCCTGCCTGTTGGGATCAACCTAGGCTGAGAGAGGGATACTACATCCCTGTAAAAAGACATAGACACTCGATAAAAATTCTCTCCTCTCAGGAATTAAACTCGGGTCTTCTGCATGCACGGATGAAGTGCCTAACTATTTCTACACAGATGGTGGCGTCAGTGGCCTAGTGGTTAGGCTACCGGACTCGTAATCGTGAGGTTGTTGGTGGCCTAGTGGTTAGGCTACCGGACTCGTAATCGTGAGGTTGTCGGTGGCCTAGTGGTTAGGCTACCGGACTCGTAATCGTGAGGTTGTCGGTGGCCTAGTGGTTAGGCTACCGGACTCGTAATCGTGAGGTTGCAGGTTCGGGGGTTCGAGCCGCGGGCCCGACGTTATGTCCTTGGGAAAGGCACTTTACACGAATTTGCCTAACTTCACTCAGGTGGGAATGGGTACCCAGCCAGAGACAGTGAAATATCTTGTCAGTATGTTAGTGTTTTAGTGCCTATAAATGGCTGCTTGCACTGTATGCTTCCCGGGAAGCTGAG